TAATGGAAAATTCTTATCTGATGAAAATTCTTATCTGATGATTGGACAACTAAAGCTCCTGAAATTTTCATCTCAGGATCTGGGAAGGGAGAGTCTTAACTACCCTGGAGCCAATCTTTCATCCCAGCCTGCACATAAGGTCCTTCCTCATTTCACTAGCTCAGCTATTATTTCTTCATTTTCATTCATTTGCAGAGGTGATTACAACGCTTTCCCTCATGTTTCTTGAAATTTTCATTCTTAGGATATGGGAAGGAGTGAGAGTTTCAACTCTGCTGGAGCCAATGTTTCTTCTCAACCTCCACATATGGTACGTATTTTTGATTTCACTACCATAAATAATACTTGATCCTAAATAATGATTTCCTTATTGCCAAAATTAATGTTGATTTTAATCCAACTCCTCGATGTATTCTTCATCTTTAGGATCCGGGCCATAATGAAAGCTTCCACCATTCTACCAACGTCAATCCGCATGTTACTCCACAAGCCAGTTCTTCGCTATCTTCCTACTCCAGCAAAGATTATTCTACCAACGATTACCCACAGTTTCCTCAACCTTATTCACAGAACTATCATCAGACATATTCCTATGAACAGCAACCCTCTTTTGCCCAAAATTATCCTTTAGAAAACTCAAACCCCACCGCTTACCCAAACTTCCAATCTTACCCAAGCTTTCAGGAAAGCTCTTTTCCTTCTGCACCAACTCACCAGCCTTCTTACTACCATGGCGCCGATGTTCCCTATTCCCAAGAACCAGCGGCACAATACAGTAATTCCACTAGTGCAGGAAATCAAGTTGGATCTTCGGTTCCTCCTACGACGAACTATAAATACGACAGTAATTATCAGCCTTCTGTGGAGAAGATTGCAGAGGCTCACAAGGCGGCCAGGTTTGCTGTTGGTGCTCTCGCGTTCGATGATGTTTCGGTAGCTGTGGATTTCCTTCGTCGATCTCTCGAGCTTCTCACAAATCCTTCTGCTGAACTTCCTTGAGTATGAGTGAGTTTTTTTTATATTTGAGGTGGTGTTGCTCCTTATACCATGAATTTACAGCTCAAATTTGTATATATGTTCTATTTTCTTATGGAACAACTATTGTGGCTTTCAAAAAAGTGATTTTGTAATCATGTTTGCTTGCTTGCTTGCATTTGCTGAAGTGATCGTTTTGTTTGTTAGAGGCGATATTGTGGCGTCGGACTTGACAAATTGATTTTGATGATAGTAAATGTGTTTTGAGTGTTTCTAATGAGTTTTGTAAGTTCTTACGATATCATAATATAATCCCATGTAAGAGCTTGATAATATTATATATCATTATTTTCCAATCATTTGCTTTAAGCTAATTATACTATATTATTTCTCTTAAATGAAATCATTACTAGCAAAAGCTAAATATTTCGATCTTCTAAATTAGCCTTGAGAAAAATATTATTCTCATTGTAGCTTGTACTTTGAGAAACATTAAATCAGATTATAAATTTCTCATACAAAGTATGTAAAAATTATATATCTAGAGCTGTTAAAAAAAGTTTATTGTTCGTAAATAACTCGTGCTCGGCTCGATAATTAGCTCGTGCTTGAATCATTTTTTAAGTAAATGAGTTGAATATGGATAAGTATATCCGACTTGAATTATAAATGGGCTGAACATGACATTATTTTGTTTGATAATATTCTGCTCATTTTAGCTTGAAATAAGAAATGAATTATAATAGAGTTTAGGGTTTAACTCGAATATGTATATATATGTCTCTGTGAGTGTGTGTGTGTGTACATGCATATACATATTATATAGATCACTCATTGATGTGGCACAAAGATCTTAAGGAAAAAGATATTACGACATACACAATGAAGAATTTTGATTGTTACATTTTAGATATGATATATTTATTATATAAGGCTATAAGTTTTATTTGGGATAATTATAAAGATAGCACTTAGAGACATTATTATTTATAAAATCTAGCACTCTAGTGATATTTTTTAACTACTGAATCGGTAAATTTATATGTGGCATAATCAAATCATTGTGAATTTGATAAAAATGAGAAACATGAGTCGATGTTTAATCTTGAATTTTGATATTTAAGCAAGCATTTGAGAAATAGAAGAAAGAGGGAGCTAGTTTTGCAATAGCAATGTTGTAGTTGTGTTTCGGGTGCCATGTATGTAATTGTCTTGTAAATTTGGGACTTGAAAATTGGAATTTTGAGGATTGATAGTTCAAATGGAAGAAATGATATTTGATTCTATTAGAAAATCAATTCTTTGATTAAACATGATGTGGCACGAGGAGCTCAAAAAGAAAGACTGGATCAATTACGAGAGTACAAAATAAGAAGAAAATTACTGACAATAAATAACACATTACAAATAACATAACAAGGAATTGTAATTAAAATTAACTTTTTTATGTGCTTGTTTATTATGCATGATTATATAATGTTTGGGATGTGTAGCTAGAGAGATTGGAGGGAAATTTGAAAAATCATGTTTCCGTTACAAGGGAGAATAAACGAATAGATGGAGAAGATGAGGCGAGGAGTCAGAAGAAGAAGAGGTGAGGTGAAGGCAGAGAGTTAGAAAGTTGAAAAGTTATTTTCGTGCATAAAATGACTTGTAGAAGAGAAGGTAACCAGCGAGAATGACTTACTAGTAACGTGTGAATGAGAAGAGGTCGAAGCAGAGAGGGGGGCGGTGTATCTATCAGGTGTAAGAGAGGATGTCATCGAGCATAGGAGACAATGGCGTCTCTATCAAGTAGAGTTGAAGCGGGCATCGATGTTTAACAAAGCTTCCTTTTATCAAAATTGAGAGCGACATCAGTGGCTGACAATGACGTTTTTATCAAGTCAAATCAGTGATGTCATGATCACGAGTAAAAAGGAGGAGAGAGAAACAACTGTAGCGTCAATTTGTGTGAATGGGCTTGTGAGATATATGAGCGCAGGAAAAGAAGCCATAAGGAAACACAAGGAAGGAGAGAACTGAAGCCGAAGAAGGAGAAGAGCGGCAAAGGAAGAGGTGTCGAGCCGCTTTGATGAGGAGGTTGCATCGTTCTCACGTGCACAGGGAGACTTTTGCGTGGGTTAGGGCTCGGTCGAGATACTTAATGGGTGAGTAGTTTCATTTAAAAATCAAGGGTAATATCCAATTCTCTTAATATTGACCTTCATCTTGGGGCCTGATTGATGGGACCTCAAAGACCGTTGTAGATTTCGGTCAAGATTTTTAAGTTATCGTCTCTTCCAACACATCATAATCACATCTAGTAGAATAAGTACGATTAAAGGGTACCATTCATGATATTAAATGACAATACTCTCTTCTGAACCTGAGCGGCTAAAGAATGACCTTCAGAGAGTATTCCCTTCATCAAGTACGTAATGATGGCTTGACATCAATCATGATATAACTCATCAAAAGCAGAAAGGGCAACACATCCATCACTTATGGGGTGACATCCAAAGTTTTGAGACACGTCGGTGATAGAACCCTTCAATCCTCGATCACTACCATCACAGGGTCTCTAGTAGGACTCGATAATTTCTTGGCTAAATTGTCAAGAGCCCCAGCTTTGCCATTCATGGAATGAGAGATCCTAATTAGTGAGAATGGCTATATGCTCTAGTAATTCCATCATCCTCTTATGATAAGCTAAGAGGCAAGGTTCGAAAAACCTTATAAGTTCCCAATACCTAGCTAATGATGAGTTGTGAATCCTAATGCACCAAAACTTACCCCAAAAGTATTGGTCGTACACCGCAAGTGCACGTGTCAAGTAGTGATACGGCTAAAGAGTATCACATATCTATCCCACAAGGAAAGTATTAAGAATTCTTCTGGAGGGTGAATCTCTAGTTTACTAAACTTCTAAACCTAGTTCAGCCCGATTACAAATAGGAGATAGTTCTATGGAATCCTACATAAAAGCGAAAATAAAAGATAAATTGTTAGGAAAAGATGGAAAACAATGGCAAATAAAGCTTAATGTTCTTCAAGGCATGTGAGGCTCGCACTCCCGTGATTTAGGTTATGTGGTGATTTGTGATTTTTCTACACTTTTTCCAACGTGATTGCTATCAACAGAGATAAAAAGTCATCCTTATGTCTATGTCTAGGTCAAAAGAAGGTTAGCATCCATGAAGTTTAAGCTTTCTCGACCCCCATGACATCTCATAGATTTGCTCTGATCCTCTTTATAGGTTGTAAAACATAGATAGAATATTTCTATTGTTACCCAAATTTTTTGGGTAACCATTTCATTGCTCTGCGTTATGGGTAGGAGTCACATATTACAAAATATGTCAACATCCTAGTTGATCAGATCAAGAATAAATGAAACTCTATTATTAACACAATAATGAAAAAACCCTGATGTCTCAGAAAAATAATACAGAAAAATAAGAAATCATCTGAGAAAATTACAAAACACATCCCATAAATCATAGTGGTGTGAAAGAAAGTTTAACTACACATAATATAAAGAACGCCGAAAAATATCACAATAAAAACATTATTGCATGTAAAACTGAAAAGTAAACACTTAAAGATGATTTTTTGCCTCTTCCACAGCAGCCAACTCCTCTCTTATATAATAACCTCTCAAAACATATAAGAAAATACAAAGGAATAGAGGTGGAAAACACCCTCAACTTTGGTGCCCAAGTTGCATAGACAAGAAGGCTAAGATCCCCTTTTCTCGTGACAAAAACATATTTTTGTAGTTAGATTTACATTAGGGATTGAAACTAGGCATCCAAGCACTTTAAATTAGTCAATAAGTCCAAAATCGGCAAGAAATCCTGCAAAATATAAGTTGTAGACGTTTGATGGCGATCATGATATTTTTAATATGTAAGGATTTACGAAGTTGATACCACTACTTGAAAATTTTAATCCCCAACTCGAGTAATAATACCAAAAACTTGATCCCAAAATTAATCCCAAGCAAAGTAAGATTTCAATTATATTTGTAGGGCTTCTACGCAAGTATACATATCATCATCAAGTAATATAGGGCTTTCTGATTAAACCTCGAATATCGATCCCACGGAGATCGAGGTTAATCACGACGGCTTTCAAGAGAAGTTCTATTCTAGAATAGAATGCCCTAGCTTGGAAGGTCGATAAAAGTTTGGTTTTGATTATATCTTACAATTATCACTACAATACTACTTCTACTCCTAAACTAAAATACTTAGTGAAAATTAGAAAGTGGGGTTTAATATATTAAAAGTACCTTTCCTCATACAATGAAATTAGTGACATGTGTAAAAGTAAAACAAGTAGTGAGAGTGATTGTGACAAATATGAGCAATTATATTCTTTACTCTTACTAGAGATGCTATAAAAAAATATTGATTAATATAAAGTTTGAATAGTTCTAAAGACGGGCTAAGCATGGAAGATACTAGCTCTCACTTTAGAGTTCCCTCTTATCCCTCCACTTGGAGGCTAACATCTCGCATCAAAACCTAAAACAATAGACCAAATTAGGAGGCTTTAGTCTGTCACTCTATAGTCTTCTAATTCTACACCCATTAAAGATTATTTCCTTATTTATTTGCACTCAACTACATGGACTACATTCTCATTCATACAATCTCATGTGATTCTACTACAGTTGATTGAGACAATATCATCCCGGATCTTACATGTTCTCACAACAAATTTCAACATGCAAGTTGATCAAATTTACATTTAAATGAAGAACAAAGTAAAATCATCACAATATATTCTCACTCTACTAAATTTTATATTCTACATATGCATACTAATTCATTACAAGAGGGAAGAGTAAAGAAAACTACTCACTACACATGGAGAAACAACAAGAACTTTTCATTGAACAAGACTTTGAAACAATACAAATAAAGTACAAAATTCAAATCAAAATACAATGAAAATACTTATCTTAATCTCTTTATAGTCCTCTCCAAGGATAAAGTGAAAAGAAAAGAAGAAATATCTCACACTCTCTCTTTCTCTGTCACCTTGTCGCCCCACTTAGGGCTCACGCAAGCCTTCTTCTTCTCCAAACCTTATTCTCCTCTTTTAATTAATTTAAGAGTCCAAGAGTCATTTTAAAAGCATTAATAAGCCTTAT